GAGCTTTGGTACAACACTGCACTGGGGGTGGGGAATTCTCATTTGCAGCATTGGTGATGAGTGCACAGACTCTGCTAGTTCTAGAGCTGGTTTCTGAGTGTAAGTTTAAATTGCTGCACAAAAATCTAGACTTCAGTCTTTACCAGCTGCATTCATGTAAAAAACAAGGTGCAGTTAAGTAAGAAAAACTCCAATAAATTTGATTCTAGAGTTACAAAATGCCTTAAAAGCTTTAATATACCTCACATTTTATAAGGGGCATGCTTAAAAAGATTTAAATAATCTGTGCTACCCACCCCAGCTATGATTCTCCCATTGTACCAGATGTATTTCTAAAGCCCCTGTTGTGAGAGAGAGAAACAGAACTTAGGATGAAAATGAGTAGCTGGTTTATGGCACATTTGGAGTAATATGCAAGGTTTAGGGTTGATTTACCTATTTTTGCCCTATTACTGTGACAGTATTAGCTCTCAGTGCTGCTGGGTTTCTGTAACTATGCTCAGAAAACAAGAAGTGGAGGGAGCTTTTAATTTCTTATTTTCTGGATTTACATTTCTCTGAACATTCTCAGAGCCAGAGCGTTTGTTGTTAAAATCAGAGACCTTGATAGAGTCCTAGGTGTGTCTTGGGCCAAAGTACCTGAGTTTGGGGGTTAATGTCTCCACATGCTTTCAGCGTATTGGGATAAGGAAATCCTGCAGAGCTACTGCAGTATCAGTTCATTTTTTAGAACAGTTAATTAGTTCTTCCCTTTACCCAGGGGTGCTGATCCTTGATCCCCATCTTTCTCCTACTCATTCTCTTACCTGTAAATGCATTTATTTCCTCATAGTTTCCTTGTAATTGGAAGCAGCTTGATTTAAGTGATAAAGCCCAAACCAGAAAGGAATTAGGCTGTGGTTGAGCAGCCTTGTCTCATCAGGTTATTTCTCACCCTGACTTACTTGTGGGCTCCACCCAGTAAATGGCATCTGCTCAGCAAGGGACAGTGTGTTTGCCTTTTTCCATGAGGGGTCCAAGGATGAGGTGACAACACGGCAAGGGTCCTTCTAATAAAGAAACTGGCTAAAGAATGCACAGCAAACAGTGCAGGAAGGTTTGCAGCAGCAGTAGAGACATGTTTACCACCCATGGTGCAGTGATTGTGTCATGGTGGTCTTGGAAACATTCCAGCGTTGCTCCAAAAATAGAATACAGCTTCAGTGCAGATCCACATCCCTGGAGAATTGTTTGTGTTCTCTGCCTTTCCATGCAGAGAGGTGTGCTCTGAAATCTCCCTGGTGGTGTGAAACCTGAGACCTGTTGGGCTTTTCCCATCCTTGTGCTTCCAGAGGGGACTCTTGGTGCTTGTGCCATGGCCACAGTAGGTGAACTTGGTGCATTAAAAATTCTCTCCCTTGTGTTGAGAGCTAGGGTTGTGGCAGCCAAGAATTGCTGTTATTCTCTATTTTCCAGATTTATTCTCTAGTTTGTGCTGTGTGGAAGGTCAGAGCTCCTGGGGAAGAGCTGCCCCCAGAGGTACATCCAGCAGTTTCACCCTACCTGGAAAGGGTCTTCTCTGCTGGGGTGTCCCAGGTTGGGTGGGGGATTTGCATTCTTAACCATCCATTTTGCTTTATGCTGTGTCCAGCCTGTGAGAACAGATGCACAAAGTCACTCTTTGGCTGTTGTACAGACCGCGAGGTGTCAGCACCACACACGGAGAATCACCATGTTCTGATTGGATTCCTTGATTGCCAGATCAGGACGGGGGTCATTTGACATGCCATGGCACAGGCTGGGGGAGAGTGGATGGAGGGCACCCTGAGGGGGAGCACTTGGGGCTGTGGGTTGATGAAAAGGTGGATGTGCCCTGGGCATGTGCAGGGACAGCCCAAAGACCCCCTGTGCCCTGGGCTGATCCACAGCGTGGGCAACGAGTGCTGGGGGCATCCTGCCCCTCTGCCCGCTCAGGGCAGAGCCCACCTGCACGAGACTTCCCTGTGTCCAGCTCGGGATCTCCAACAGCACAAGGACATGGAGCTGCTGGAGCGAGTCCAGAGGAGAACACAAAGATGTTTCGAGGGCTGGAGCCCCTCTGCTCTGGAGCCAGGCTGGGATTGCTGGGGGGGTTCACCTGGAGAAGGGAAGGCTCCAGGGAGACCTCCAGGGCCTGAAGGGGCTCCAGGATAGCTGGAGAGGGACTTGGGACAAGGGATGGAGGGACAGGACACAGGGAATGGCTTCCCACTGCCAGAGGGCAGGGAGAGATGGGATGTTGGATACTGGCAGTACTGGGTTAGTGGTTGGACTTGATGATTTTAAGGTCTTTTCCAACCTGAATTATTCTATGATTCTGTGACATCTTTATGCCAGAAAGCTCTTGCTGCTCTCTCCTCAGTAATAGGTGCATCCAGGTGGCTCATCCTTTTGCTTTACCAAGCAAATTATAAAATATGATATATGCAAGGGAAAAAAAAACAATAAAAGAGAGACTCAAAAGGCAAGTCTCACCCACTGGTCAGAAGAGACCAGTGTGACAAGTTCAGCTGAGTATTGGTGCTTTCAGCTGAGACTCCCAAAGGAACTGAAGGCCCTCAATTCCAGAGGCATCAATGTGTGATGTGGCCTTCAGCCCTCAAGCTGAAGTTGTGTATTTAATGTCATAGTTCTGTAGAGATGAATCCTGACAGGAACTACTGGAGGCATCAGATGTCCGTGTATGTGTTGCTGCAATATGAGAAATCAAATTTGTTCTTCCTGCAGAGATGGTTTTGGTGGAATTGGATTTTTAGACTAGTTCGTTTCAGACACTTAAAACCACTCCAGTGAAGAGGCATTGGAAAATCAGACACAGTTCTATTTCAGCCTGTTGTATTAATGCAATCTGCAAAATAAAGCCATTACAAGCCATATAATGCTACTGAGGACTGTATTTTTGGAGACTGAAAAGGTCCTTTCTGAAATAGGAGAATGTTACTGAGAAAATACTCCTTTGACATTAAAACTCTCCCATATAGATGATTTCAAGCTGATCAGTTAAACCCAGCACAGCATAAAACCAGGGAGAAGGATCAAATCATGCAAGTCCCAGTTCTGTGAGGGAGTTTGCTACTCCCTGAATACATCACCTTGTACATTCCACACCCTTTAATACACTCCAGCAACTATGTGTAAATCAAAAGGAGCAAGCAGTGGAAAATCCATCCCAGTATCCCAAAACGCTGTCACACATGAAACCTGACCCACACCTGCAGGAGCTCCCTAAAACGAAGAGGGGATAAGGAAGGAAAAGAAAGAGGTGTAGTTTGAACTTCCCAACTCCTACAAAAGTAAATTTGTACATGACTAAGCTGTGAGTGATGTCGCCGGGTCCTGCTACGTAACACTGAAGTGTGTCCTGCCAAAACAAGCAGCCAAAGGCTTTCCTTGGTATTTATTTTAGAAAACAGTAAGACCGAGGCTGTTTTTAGAGCCTGATGTAACACCATGGTGATGGTTTCCTCATCAGCTGGCAGACACTGCCCCAATTGCCTTATCAGACGTGCTGTGAGGACAGGGGTGATGCAGAGCTCCACAAACCAGTGCACCGACACACGGGACACAGCAAATTTTCCTCAGGTTAGAGCAAAAAAGGTAGGTCAAACCTAATCAGACTAGTGCAAAAAACCTAAAGGTGAAACAGTTGGAGCATTAGGCATGAGAATAACTAAGGAGTGGAGAGAATTAGAATATCTGAGGATCTGAAGGATGAAATTCAGGAAATGTTCTTGTTAGGATGCTGTAAAAGGTTTCAGCTGTCACCAAAATGTGCAGGGGAATATGTAAAAGTATTGTGGAGATAGTTTAAATGGGTGAATTGCCGAGGAGCAGCTCTGGAAAGCTATCCTTTGACAGGAACAGACATGTTTAAACCTGGTTTCAGCTGAGTCAATGGAAATCCTTCCCTTAATCTCAGGACAGGATTTCACTTTGAACCCAGAATAATTCTCCCACAGGTTATTCATAGAATCATGAATATCTCGAGCTGGAAGGGACCCACAAGGATCATCGAGTCTGACTCCTGGCCCTGCACAGACAGCCAGGAATCACACACTCCCTGATTCCCCTCTATCCCCTTCCCTTTGGTTTTTGGAGCAGCACTGGAGTCCTGTAAAATTCAGAGCCTGTTTGTGGATCCAGATGTAGCACAGCTGTACACAAAGCTTTCTACCTCCTCTGCCAGTTCATGTCACTGTTGGCTCACAGGTGGATATCCCAGGTGTTTTAAGGGTCCATTTAGAGGCAGCTGTGACAGGAGCCAAATCTAAGCTGCTCTTCAACAATATTTATTACTTTTAGGGTGACTACTGGGAGCGCAAGTGTTGAGGAACTAATCTCTAAAAATCAAAGTGCTGATCAGTAAATTTGATACTGAACAGGGTGTTTCACTCAGTGGACAAAGTGCTGGGCTGATCCCTGTGTAATCCCTCTCCAGCCCAAACAGAGTTCCCTCCATCAAAATTGGCAACAGAAAATAATCCAATGCTGCTTTTAGATTCGGTCCAAATTCTGTGACTGATGACAACAAAACATTTCCTGTGCATCTCTGCTCTGGAGCCAGGCTGGGAGAGCTGGGGGGGCTCACCTGGAGAAGAGAAGGCTCTGGGGAGACCTGAGAGCCCCTGCCAGGGCCTGAAGGGGCTCCAGGAGAGCTGGAGAGGGATTTGGGACAAGGGATGGAGGGACAGAACAAGGGGGAATGGCTTCCCACTGCCAGAGGGCAGGGAGAGATGGGATATTGGGAAGAGATTCTTCCCTGTGGGGGTGGGGAGGCCCTGGCACAGGTTGCCCAGAGAAGCTGTGGCTGCCCCATCCCTGGAAGTGTCCAAGGCCAGGTTGGATGGGACTTGGAGCAACCTGAGCTCGTGGAAGGTGTCCCTGCCCATGATGGAGGGTTGGTTAAATCTTTAAAATCCCTCCCACACCATTCTGGGATTCTCTGATTCAAAGAGCCTTCAACAGCAAAAGAAAAACGTGAATTGTCAAACCACCACATTTCTTTATTCTTTTCTGTCTTTATTTTGAGACAGACCCAGAAGCAATGAAATCTTTGTTCATCCTTGATGCACTGTTTTTTTCTACAGTGTTTTAAAAATGGTCCTGAAAAGAAAAAAAATGTGATCAGCAACCCAAATATCAAGAGATTTCTGTGCAAGAGAGAATATTTCATGATAGGAAGACATTAGAAAACTGAGTAACTGGTACATTTTCGTGCTTTGATACAACTAGCCTGTGCCATCTCTGTTTCTAGAAGAGTTCACTACATCTGAATAGGAAAGAGTTTAGTCTTCTCAGATCGCAATAGGTCTTTCCTAAGTGGAGTAGGATTCCATAAAGTAGAGGCCATAAATATTGAAGGCATTGCAGGATTGATTTGGGTCTTAAATTTCATTTTTAAGGGAAGAGAAAAATACAGGAACTCCTGTCTTTCCTCACCTCTTGCCCATTCCAGGCTGGAACTGTTCCATCAGTAGGTGCAGTACAGGTAACAGACATTAATTTTCCAGCACCAGACACGTTCATTGCTGGACAGATAAGCCATGACAAGCGTTTTTCCTACAATAAAATAAGAATTAGAAAACAACACAGAATTAAATAGGACTGAAAGGGCTGGTTCTCCACGAGCTCTGTTCAGCAAAGTGGTTAAAGATGTGGAGCTCAGCACACCCGGAAAAACCCCATGGCTGCCCTTTGGCCAGAAAATTACTGAGCATCATTAAATGTGTGAGAGTTCCCTCTCAGAGCATTACCTTACACGTGACAAACAACTGGGGGTTTATTGTAGGTTCCAAAACAGATTAAGGTGACAGGTTGCTGTGCAGAGGTGCACCTCACTGTTTTCTCTGACTGATTCATGGTCAGGGAAGAGACTTCAAAAATGAAGCCATTTCTTCCCCCCCAGAGATGACCTAATGAGACACGGTCATGAGATAAGGTTTTGCGTCAGCATCTTTTATGTAAATTCTTTTTTAGGGCTGGTAAGGGAGTGTTACAGTTGGCCACTTCATGAAGGAAAACAAACAGGCAGAGTTCTATTTTTAGTCTTCTGAGAGTATAAGTCACAAATGCCATTTTTCCAGAGGTGATCCGTTGAGTTTCCACATTTCTGCTCATGGTCAGCCAAGCTTTTAACACGGAATTGCATCTTAAATTCATGTGACAGTTACATACAAATCTCTCGAAGTGCTTCTGATATCTAACACAAAATTCATAGCTTCTTTTTAACATCTTTTAGCGTCTTTGAGAGCTTCATCAAAACTCAGTTAACTCCAGCTAAGCATTTTGAGAACTGCTACATACAACAAGGCAAGTAACCAAACCAAACTCTGTTTTCTCTACTGCCTAAACCAAGGTGAATATAACTGTCCCTCAGATTTTTAGATTCTTTACTGGACACATTTACTGGATCTGTTATTGCTCAGGTAGTTCGAGTGGGTATTTTCCTTGTACAACAGTAAAATCCTAAACAAATCTATACCAGGTGTACCTGTACAACACCAGTGTTTTAGCACTGTACAACCAAACAAAAGTGATTTTGATATTTTGAGCACTGGAAGCAGCTTTACCTGCTCTCTGAAGTGTTGCTCCAGAATTCTCGTGCCGGGAAAAAAAATTAAAAAAGGATTTTAGACACACTGAAGACAATTCAAAGCATTTAACACCCCAAGGATTTAACACCCCAAGGAACAGTAATGGATTGAACCTCTGTTCTGCCACTACAGCCCCAGTTCTTTGAACCTTTGGTGTTATGTATTCAAAGAAAGTGTAAATGCAAGTGTGGGATTGTGGGAGAGTTTTCAAAACAAATCAGTGTGGTCATGGTTTATGTTCTTCTTCTTGTCCCCCTTCAAGGAAACATGAGAATAAAAGTCCCTATAGTATTCCATTTGGGGTTTTTTCACATGAAAGAGGTCATAACCATGTACCACACAGGGAAGGGTTGTGACACTACCATCATGTACAAAATTAATTTGGTATTGAAAACAGTAACATCAGTCCCCAGGAACCACTTCTGGCCCATAAAGATCCCACAAACTGCCCGCTGGTCAGCAGGTATGGCAGCCGGGGTTGTTCCTACCTCCCTGCTGGCAGGTAGAGGCTGCAGGAAGCTGTTCAGACTCTGAGGAACGTGTTCCCAATTTGTCTTGGCTGGTGCCTGTGCCGGTTTTCCCTTTGTGTGCGTCACTGGGCGTGCTGGATGGCATTCCTTGATACCGCCGGCGATACACCCGTGTTTGGAGATGGGTGTCATGTTCCACCTGGATGGGAAGTGTGTCCTGCTGAGGGATTGTGCTGCTGTGGTGACATTAAAATACACTGCCAGTTCACCAGGTGAATTTGGCTAAAGGAGAGGGAGGAGGCACAGCCTCTGCTCCCAGAGACACCCAGCAGTGTCCCAGTCCCAGGACTGTGATGAATTTACAGGTGCTCAGGAGCTCAGTAAGGAGATCTCTGGTGTGAGCAAAGCCAGATCACAAGAGCAGAAGGGGTGGGTTTAGTAAGACCACATCACTGTATTGTGAACCACCTGCACCTCACTCCCACCCCTTGGAAGGGCTGCAGGACACCTGCACCACCCTCACTTACACACTCAGTGTACAAAGAAATGAGGTTATGGGTTTTCTCCCTTGTTTCCACTGTCCCTAAAGGTGCTTTACTCAAGACTTTGACTTCCTCCAAAGCACGTAAAGTAAAATTGAGTGAACCTGGTGGTAGCAGCTCCCCACCAAAGTGCCCAGTCTTAGCTGAAAGCAGCACTGCATGCAATTTCCCTGCTCCTACACATTTCCCTTCGGAACGGCCGTTCTGGACCTGGAGCTGCCTTGCTGATCCCACCAACTGGCTCTACCTCAGGTGAGATGTGGGAGCTTCATTTTGCAGCAGTCTTGCAGCAGGAGCTGTGGGCAGGCTCTTTCAGCATGGCAAGGGGAGCAGCCAAGTTCAGTCCTGCACTGGAGGCTGTCGCAGTGCTTCCCAGCTCAGCAGCAAAGGCAAGAACTGGTCCTGGTCTGGGCTGAACCAGCTGGTTCAGGGGCCTCACAAGGGGCAGCATGATGGAACCACCTGGTAGGGGTTTGCTCTCTCCCTTTGGTGGTTGTCCCCCATCCTGCTGTGTCGCACCATCAGGGAAGGCCATGAAACAAGCTGAGGAGCTGTGAGCCCATCTCTCTAGCACAAACACCAGTGAAAGTGGGGAAAAAACTCCCAAACAAACCCAGACCAAGCTTGTGATCCGCCTTTTTGGTGCCATCACTGGGTTTCATCCTGTTTCTGTATCCTGAGACAGGACCTGAGCTCAGACAGCTGCAGGCATTGGGTAACATCTGCCTGCCCCAAAACCTGGTGGTTTGCACCCAAACTGGGGAGCATAGGATGTACAGACAGCCCCTGACAAGCACGTTGGCAGGAAAAGCAGAGCCCAGGTCTCCTGAGTGGTAATCCTGCCTGCTGGGCATATTCCCTTCCCCGTGGCCTCTGGGCCATGCAGAGCTCATGTCGAAGCCTGCACAGGTTCTATTTTTCATGTTCAGTAAAATTTGACTCAGTTTGTGCCAAAATCTCTCAGGATTCTCCCTCCCCTGTCCCCCATGAGTTATGTTTCCTTGAAAAACCACAACCCTCTCTGAGTACCTTAGAAATGCACCATAAGCACTAAGCCAACACGAGACAATAATAAATGAGGCAGAATTACATGCCAGGATGTGCTGGTGATAATGTTTTCCACTAAAGACGGGAGCAGTGAAATTTTCCAGCACAACAACAGAGGCCCTGCTCCCCCACCCCACGTGGAACACGAGTGAACTTCACCTGCCCACCCTGTGTCCGTCCAGCCCCAAACCGGCCCCACCTGCACCATCCCCCGTGGGTGACACACCAAGCCACCAGTGACGAGCTTGGCCAGCCCAGCGCTGGCTGACCTTTAAATCCATCTTGTCTTGTCTGCATGCCCAAGAGGAAATCACATGTGTGGCACGAGCCTGACCCAGAAATATTGCAGGGAGTAGGATATTTTGCGCGAATAAGGAAGGGCAGGGTCTGCAAGATGAATCACCACAACAATAATTATCCTGAGGAAAAACCTTGGAGGGTGGATTAACCGTGATAACTTGCCCTTTCAAGGTAACAACAATGCGAGCCGTCAGCTCTTCTCCACGGTGGGGGACAGAAAATGCTTTAGCACAAAGCATAAAAATAAAAATGATGGGAGTTCAGAAGAAGAGATTGCCCAAGGAGGCATCCTTCACTTCCCAACTGCCCCGGCTTCAGCCTGCCATTGTTATACAATATGCCACAAGAATTGCTTCAAAAACTATTTTTAGTGCACCAGCAGCTTTCAGTGAAAATAAATAAAGGGCCAGACAGTTGCTATAAAGACAGGAAATAAACTTTAGAAACTCTTTAGCTTTTGGCTAAGCAGGGCAACTGATTTACACAGTTCCTGAGCGTGCACGATAGTCTCAGATAAGATGAACTCTGACGGTTTTCTCTTTTCTTTCCTCCCATCAGCGCAGTTATAACATCACCATCAGTGCTTTGTGACTGCTCCCCACCTGGAGCAAACACCAAGGCCAGGAACCTCAGGGTGCTGCAGTCTCTGCCTGCACCTCTGGTGTGTATCTCCCATGGTTGTACCACGTGCAGCCAAAGGGTTCAGAGCCAGCAACCCCAAAGGGTTCAGAGCAGCAGCTGCAGTGCTGTGCCCATTGCCAGTCCCTGGAGGCAGCCCCTGTGGCCAGGACACATCATCACAGCAGTGTCCCTCTCCCTCCTCAGCCCACCCTGCTGCTTGGCTCAGGCAACAGGAGCACGAGTTCCTCCTGAGGAAGTGGGGAGAGCTCTGCTTGTGTGGCACTTGAACTGCTCAGAGGAGCTTCAAGCATCCCAAAGATGGGCAGAGCCACGGTGGAGGTGAGTGAGACAGGAAATGACCTCCCACCAGAGCAGCACCTCCAGCCCCTGCAGAGCCCCAGTGTGGGTGGGTACAGCTGCCCAGGGAGACCATGAATGACCTGCTGCTCATCCAACACCCTGCACTGAGGGAGCAACGAGTAAAGGCCCAACTCTGTCTGCCAGTTGAAAAAATATTCTACTTTTTGTTATTGAGCCAACCTTGTGTTCAGCCTTGGCTAAATGCTCCAAGCTACCATGTTGTCAAGCAGAGCAGTTGGTGGAGAGGTGACTATTTTGCTGCCTTTCAGCTGGTCAAGGGAGGGGATTGTCCCACTCTGCTCTGCCCTGGGGCGGCCTCACCTCAACATTGGGGCAGTTTGGGGGGACACAATGGAAGGAAGGGATTGAGCCATCAGGGAGTGTCCAAAGGAGGGAACAGAGATGGGGAAGGGCCTTGATTTGAAGCCGTGGGAGGACACTGAGGGCACTTGGTGTGTTCAGCTGGAGCAGAGGAGACTGAGGGGAGAGCTCACTGCAGTTCCAATTCCTGGGCAGGGGCAGAGGAGGGGCAGGGACTGAGCTCTGCTCTGGGGGGACCAGGGACAGCAGCCAGGGAATGGCTGGAGCTGTGTCAGGGCAGGCTCAGGTTGGATCTCAGCCAAAGGTTCTTCCCCCAGAGGCTGGTTGGCACTGCCCAGGCTCCCCAGGGCAGTGGGCACAGCCCCAAGGCTGCCAGAGCTCCAGGAGGGTTTGGCTGATCCTCTGGGGCACAGGGGGGGACTCTTGGGGATGGGCCTGTGCAGGGCCAGGAGATGAACTCGATGATCCTTGTGGGTCCCTTCCAGCTCAGCACATTCTGGGATTCTGTAACCAGTTATCTGCCTCAAGTCTGCTCTGAAGAGCTGAGGTGCCACAGCCTTGTCTGTGCTTCACCCCACCTGCCCCAGGGCTGGGGAAAGTGCTGGCATTCCTTCTGTGAATGCTGCCTGGAGCAGGTGCTTCCCAGGGCAAGAGCTGGAGAGAAAAACCCACCTGTGGTCACTCAAGGTCTGCACTGCCCCTGGACAGGACAGCTCTCTGCAGTGACCCCGTCTGGGGCAAATAAACCCAAGTCTGGAAAGTGAACCCCCAGGCAATCCATGCTCTGCTCCAGAGGCAAAGGTTGCTGCACACGGAGCACGAGGCCTCACCTGCCCCTGCTCGTCGCTCAGCAGACACGGAAGAGGCTCTGCCTTGCACGGAATCTGCGCTGGGCAGGGAGGTGCTGTCAGACTGCGCCGAGGAAAGGCTCTTCCTGCTCCTCTCCCGTTCCAGCTGAACCTCTGCCAGCAGCAAACAGAGCCACGGAAAGTGAAACCACAGCACCGAGTGGGGAAGGAACCTGGAGAAGGTGCTTCTCAGGCGCTGCTCCTTCGCTTTGCAGTTACCACAGGACTCCTGTGCCCTTTGCAACCTGTGGAGTAACTTTAATAACAACAAGAAAACAATGAAAACATTTCTCTGTCCCAATGGTATGTGGGTACCTTTCCATCTCACTGCTCCTGAGTTATAAGGAGTAAGTAACTTACCATTACTAAGCCTGTTAACAGCTTTATTTGCCTCTGCCACCTCCACTTCATTCTGAACTAGGCTGCCAACATCCTCTAATTTCTCCCCACCAGCCTCTCCTGAACATCCTGGATGTCTCCTGTTTGGAGACAGGTCCATCAGGACTTGAAGGGTGGTCTGGGGGCAAGGTGAGGTCACATTACTTAAACACCCGACTATTTTCTTTGCTTTCTTAGCTGTACACAGAGATCCCCTCTGACTGCAGGAACATCCCTCCCCTCTGTTTTTAATTTAAGGTTTAACAAAGTGATTTTCATATTTTTACATCCCCAAAACATAAAAAAAACCCTTCAGCCACAGCCCTTCAACTTGGACTTGGTCCTGCCTCCCCCAATAACAGAACAAGAGTAAAACACCTTATCAGTGTGAACAGATCAGTTTTCCCTGTGGTGGAGTTGTTTTCAGTGTGCTGTGATGTGTATTACAAAAGCCAAAGATATAAATGATCAACTGGAAGCTTGAATTAATTTTTCCTCATGTCTAAATTAGGAGGGTGAGTAATTGCTGCAGTAATCGCAGGCAGAGCCTGTTTATCAATGCCAGTGAATAATTGGCTATTAAACAATAGTGCACTTTGCCTTTGAAAATTCACAACACTCCAGCAGGAAGCACAGGGCCAGTTTTATATTGGCCTGGTGATGGATGAGAGGAGTGGCAGGATTACAAAGGCAGTTTGGGGAAAAGCTTCCTGATGTGTCTCCCCCCAAAACCATCCCTGTGCCTGAAGAGTTATCCTTGCTGCAAGGATAAGCACACAGTGGGCTTAGATTACAGCATCTGAAGTCACAGGGCCAAAATAGCACAAGCCTAATTCTGTAATCAATCACTCCTGATCACAGGCAGCCCCGGGCTGTGCCCCGAAACCACAGGCAGGAGCTGCCTCTTGTTTTCTGGTTTTGTACACGCGCCCGTCTGCCACTGTCTGACCTCACCCTTTGTTCATCACAGCATCTGGCCCTCTTATCTTCCTTCTGCCCTCCCATTTTCCATGCCAAGCCTATCCTCTTCCCACTATGCTCCTCATCCCTTCCTCTGACAACTCTGGATCAGATCCCTGTCCTCCCAGTGTACCACCCTCCCTGCCCAGCTCCACCAACCCCTCACTCCACCTGCTTTTCAGTGCCACCACTCCATTTCTTTCCCCTCCTGGACTCTGTGTGCTCACCCCAGGCACCCACAGCTCCTCCAGCTCCCAGGAACTCACCTGTGCTCTCTTCCTCTTCCAAGCCTCTTCCTTTCTCTGAGCTTTCTGGATCAGGAGCAGACATGGTGCAAATGATTGGGGATCCCTCCTGTTCCTGCTGCTTTCAAGCCCTTTCTCTTGCCCAATCTCTCCTCATCCTCCCCCAGGATTCACCCAAAGCTCTTTCTTCTCCTCCCAGATTCCTCCACCCACTGTTGGTGGTGTCAGGTTCTGGTGTGACAACCCAACCAGTCTCTCACCTTGGCATCTCCATATCCTTGCTCCTTCACTTCATCCACAGCTCGTTTGACTCCCTCAGTCACTCTCAAATGGTTAATCTGCAATATTCTCCACCAACCACTGCTCTTCCTCACCTCCCTGCTGTGCAAATCCCCCCTCTGCTCACTGCTCATCCAGATAATTCAATTAGTTTTCCCCTGCTCCTCTGTTTGCAGACCTCTCCTCCCTGTCCTTTTCTCAATTTGAAAATTGCTCATTTACTTTCAGGCTTCATTTCAGTTCCAGTCTAGACTGTTCTCCCAGAGTCTGACTGAATTTCACTTTTTCCCCCCCGAAGCTGTTAACACAGCAGCAATTCATTCTCTCTACCTCTGTACCATCACCTTCCCAACTAAGCAGCTGTAAGATCCAGCTGAATCTGAACAAGTGTATCTCCAACTCTGGCTGATGCAACTCCTGGCTCTCTTCTCCTGGCTCCCCTGTCCTCCTAGGAAATATGAGCTGACTGGTTTTGCTCACCTCTGCAGTAGGGCACTGGTCTGTTTTCCCTTCCAGTGGCATCTCCATGACATTTCACTGTCTTTCGTCCTTTTTTCATCCCTTTTAATTCTAATTATCCTTAACTCTTTCTCATTTAGCCTTGAATTCTGCAATTTCCCCTTCACTAACATCCTTTAGCGTCTCCTTTCTTTAAGATGTACCGAAATGTCCTTGATTTCCCTCTTGTCCTTCCAGACTCTGGTCCCTCCCATAGCTCACTGCTGTTTGTAATATCCTGGTGTTCCTCTGGAAGTTTCTGCCCCTCACATCTTACAGAAACTTCTCTGGTGGAGGTCTCTCATCTCTTCTTCTTACCAAGATGTCAGTCAGCCACTTCCTTTTATCTTCATTTGCTTTTAGCACAGTTGACCACGCTCCTCTCGAGCCCTTGTTCTCTGGACTCAGCCTCCTTCACCCCCAGCCCCCAGCACATTTGCTAAGCAGTTTTCAGCAGCCTTGAACAGCTCTTGGTCTCTTTTCTCCTACATCCCCTTTCCAAGGGAAAACCACCCACCGAACAACCCAAAAACCCAAACTCGCCTCCATACCCAAACTCACTGCCCACCTCTGCAGGGATGTCTCCTGTTTTACTGCTCAACTCCAGACCTGCCTTTTCTTTCCAACTAAAAAGTAAATAATAACAACAAAAGCTCTTTCTGTAGGATCAGCTCTTACTTAGATCTACTTTTAACTGGGGCTCATCCTGGCTAAAGCAAAGCTTGTGCCCATGTCTCAACAGAACCCCACTGTCCATCACTGACACCATGACCAGGTCTGTCCACAGCCCACCACAGCCTGTACTCTCTCTCCTAGTGCCCAGTTTATGAATCCTTCAAGAGTGGTTTAATTCTCTTGAAGTTTTTCCACACTGGGTCCTTGCAAAAGCACATCACTTCTGCAGCCACCTCTTTCCCATACTGAGGAGTTCCTTTTTGCTGTGTCACTACCAAGAAGCCCTGGCTTGCAAAGCCCAGGGATCTGTGCAGGACTGGGGCACCTGACACAGGAAATGTGTGGACCTGTTGGAATGAGTCTAGAGGAGGCCATGGAGATGCTCCAAGCACCTCTGCTCTGGAGCCAGCCTGGGAGATCTGGGAGGGTTCACCTGGAGGAGAGAAGGCTCCAGGGAGACATCAGAGCCCCTTCCAGGGTCTGAAGGGCCTCCAGGAGAGCTGGAGAGGGACTGGGGACAAGGGATGGAGGGACAGGACAAGGGGGAATGGCTTCCCACTGCCAGAGGGCAGGGATAGATGGGATATTGGGAAGAGATTCTTCCCTGTGAGGGTGGGGAGGCCCTGGCACAGGTTGCCCAGAGAAGCTGTGGCTGCCCCACCCCTGGAAGTGTCCAAGGCCAGGTTGGACGGGGCTTGGAGCAACCTGGGCTAGTGGAAGGTGTCCCTGCCCATGGCAGGGGTGGAATGAGATGGGCTTTAAGGTTCCTTCCAGCCTAAACCATTCTGTGAGTCTGTGAAGATGGAATTATCAGAATCCTTTCCTACCACAAATCCATTGCCAAATCTATAAATCCTCCCAGGAAGCTTTTCTGTCTGTGCCCCCTACTTGGTTCAAGCACAGTGCTGACACCTTTGAAGTAGCCCTTACTCTCTGGTCCATAAGGAATTAATTTCACAAGAGCACAGTCTTCTGAGATGTCTAAAGGGTTTGTGTGTGCACTTGCTCCCCCCTGGCCATGGCTCCCAAAACTCCCAGGAATACTCCAGTAAAGGCTGAAATTTTTGGTGTCTTTCTGGGCTTTCCCTTCCAATGAGCAGCACAGAGAACTCCCTCCCTGACAAGGGCAGTCACTGGAACCAGACCAGCAAGAACATGACTAGAAAAGCTGTTTTAACCCAAAGCAGAAATCCAAGGTCATGTCTGGAAGCCCCTTCCAGCTCAGAGAGCAGACACCAAATACTTTGCTTATCCTCTGTGACTACGTGAGAGTCTTGGACCGAGACATGAAGCTTCTTAGAAAAATGACCAATTTTGGCAGATGGACACTAGAACCAGTAATTAAGCTGCTGAATGTCCTCACCTGGCCATCAGAGAGATGGCCTCACCTCTGGCTGCAGTCTCAGTGACACCTGAGTGGTGTCACCACACAGGAGCTGCAGCAGGAGGACAGCACAAAACTTCAGCTTCCTAACAGCAAGTCTGTTCATGTGGCTTGACCCAGCAAGGTCTGCTGAAGCCAGTGAGGCCAGAACCACCCACAGCCACCAAACCCTTAGCCCAGACCCCCCAAGAGCCCCCAGCCCTTGTGGCCTGGTCCTGATGTGCCTCCATTTACACCTTCTCCACTACACAAAGTACATGCTCGGACTCGATCCCGACGTATTCCGTGTCGTTAGACCCCCAACAGTTTACAATTATATGTTTAATACCTTTACAGCATTTACTCCACAATTACTCTTTGGAAATGTATAACTGGAGGGCTGTGTTACCAGGCCCATGGTAAACAGATGTGCTCCAAGTGTCTGTACAGGCAACCTTTCCAAAAACATGAATTAGCTTAGTCAAGCGTTTTCCACGAACGCATTTTTGACAGATCAGTTAATACTGTTTACATAATTTGAAACTAAATATTGAATGCAGGCCTATTTTGCCTTACATCTTGACATAAAATATATCTCTCTGTAGGTAGATAGGGAAATGTTCCCGGCTTTGCAAGGAGATAGGAAATTATTGATAAGAGCCCTGATATCTGCAATACAATACACTTTCCAAGGGTTCACAGAATTCCCCCAAAGTTCTCCTATTAGCAGAGGCTGTTTGAACAAACTTGGCTGGAAAACAAAATCTCGTTCAGTACTTTTCCCTTTTTTTTTTTTTTGAACCTGCAGTGCTATTTTAAGACCAGTTTTATGGTTCCAGTTTAGGCAATGGCTAAAACGGAAGGGAAAAAAATGACAATATTTCATAACGTTTACGTGGCTCACTCCTGACTCTCTCTCACACCATGATATCACCGTGGCCTCGTGTGTTTTTGGTGACATCTTGACATCAGCCTTGTAAAAGTGCACCTCAAATACTTGAATAGAGGAAAAGGGAAGTTTTATTTTGGAAAAAAGACAGGGTTTGAGTTCTATCATTTTAATTATAGTTATATGGAGATATTAACCTAGTCATAGTCTCAAAATGTCTTCTGCTGATTGCCAGATTTGTAAATATGTGTTAGCCCAAGGTCAGGCCCCACCACAACAAAAAGCAGACCTGTGTCTTTCTGTGCCCTCCTCCCCATCATTCCACTTTCTCCACCCTTTCTCTCCTTCCTGCCGTGAACATGAGCTTGCTTCCCCTCATCTCCACATGATTTCCTCATGCTATTTGTTACCCCTTCCCATACACAGCTTTGTGACTCCGCCCTGCACATGGCCAGGGGATGGACACCACCCTTGTTGTCCCGGAGGCTGTTCCCCACCCAGGCAGCCGTGCCCTGTGCCGGGCACATCCCCCCAGCCCGGCCGGCTCAGAGCCCACGGGGCTGCTGCAGGGACAGTGGCCAGCTCTGCCTCAGCCTTCTCCTCACCCTGCTGCTGCAAGGAACTGCCAGAGCTCAGCTTATGCCCTGACAAACCACAGGTTTTGTCCCCAGAAGTCCCTCTGCAGCACTCCTATGTTCAACACCAGCTGGCCACAGCTACCAAAGATGTCCCAGCTCTCTTCCCTCCACACGTGCTATTGCTGCACCATCTCTCTTTACCTGGGGAGAACCTGAGGGCTTTGGAAATACCTCCTTGGAAATACCTTCTGCAGCTTTCTGGTCCTTGCACTGCCTGGAAGACTGTCTCATATTTTCTGGATCAGATCCATGGTGCTTAAGACCTTTCTTTGGCAATGAATAATCTGCTTTGATGGTTCATCTTTTCACCTCTGTGTTCATTAATAAATGTGTAAAGGAAATGTCAGGTCTTTTTTTTTTTAAAAAAAAGGGCAAAAATAGTATTTATCTAAATGCACATTATGATAACAAAGGAATATTATTTTTTTGCAAATGCAATATATTCCCCAGTGTGTTTGTAACATGTTACTTATTTTGGAGTGGAATCAGAAAAGTCTCCCAAAGAAGCTGTGTGGGAAAACATGTAATTCAAAACAATCTGGATGAGCAGCATCTCTGTGAACAAATAGCTGTGTTTATGCCTGTCAGGGGACAAGAGGTAAACAAAGAGAACAAAATGAGCCTCTGAGAACTGGAGGTCACTGCATGTTGTGCAGTGGGCACGTAGTGACACTCATGTTGCTTGAGGGAACAGAAGATGCAGACCAGTGGGGTTCACGTACTTAGCTCAAAATGACTGGCAAAAAGAGGTTTGTTTCTCCAGTTCTGCTACTGATATTAAGGATTGCTGTTGGAGAGAGCAGTTTACTTCAAGTATACTAATGATTAGCTCCTTCTCTGGTAAGTGCAGCACAGGCAGAGGTTCCGAACTCCAAGCACTCGAGGTGGTAACCAGGGAGGGGAGCACAGCCTGCAGCTGTAGGCAGGGTTAAGCCCAATCCCATTTTGGAATACAGCCCCAAGACCAACCCAGAGTGTGCTTGCACGTGCCACAGCGAACTTCCTACTCCTAGAGAAAGGGAAAATTTCAAGGGATTTACAAAACAGCACATGAACAACCCCCAAGTCCTCTTGACTGTGTTTTTTTAGAATTGATGTTCATGTCTTCATACAGGGAGAATTCCAAGACCCAACCATATGAGTTTGCCCCAGAAGCAGGGCTGGGTGGAGCTCACCAGCTCAGGCTTGGAGCAGCTTCATTAACCTTGGTATGATGTAAAGTATTCCTTTATCTGCACTTGGATTAAAAAGTCTGAGCAAACCCTGAGAAACTCTGGACCCACAGACCATGCTTTCAGGAGCTCCTCAGGTCGTGTCCAGCTCCAAAAGCCAGCAGATGTGTCAGAGGCCATGGCAGAACAGAGCCTGCCTGGGTGCTCCCACACAGACACAGCTCTGCACCGTACAGGCACAAACCAGCTGCATCTTCCGAGCCACTGAACAGCCAACAAACTCCTAAATCAGCCAAACAGAGCCGTTCCAAAGCTCTTTCCTCTCCCCAACTCTTCTACTGGCTTCTAATCATCCATCCCCAAAGCTCCCACAGCCCTCTGAGCCCATCAGTTCCTAACTACATGGAGCTGCAGGTAATTGGCTCCCAGACAGCTGTCCATGCCCAAACTCCTTCTGCTCCCTGGCTTGATTCACTGCTGGGGTCACCATCAGCCTGGCTCAGATGGGCCCTATCTGGAGGACACCTCAGTGGAACCTGGGGGTCTGAGCTTCCCCCTCAAAAGGTACAACATTCCCAAGGTTTCTGTCCCTGGCCCGAGCTCACCAGACACTTGTTTGCATCACCAGATCAACTGATTAATCACAATAAGGCACCTTTTCATTGCCACAGGGGTTCAAAACCCACCCAGATTTGCTCTGGAAAGCTCTGGTCAGGCGGCTCTCGCCCTTCCTGAGCTCTGATCTGCCACAGCTCCTCACGGATTTCACTCCTCGCTTTTTATTGGTCCTTCTGCAGTCCCACGGATACATCTGTAAGCTGAGAAGCCACTGTGGTTGCTGATGACATGACACATTGCAGGAGTGGGCCAAGGAGAGCTCGGGAAATTAACTGAGTTTGCAAATCTTATTTATTTATTTATTGTATTTTTTTCCACACGCTTTTAGGAGGTAGCAGATTCTTACTGCAGACTGTTGGTATATTAACCTCACGTTTTTGCTGCTGAAAGGACTCTCTGGTCTGACTTCTACAGGAGGTGTTTTGACAACAAAACAGTGCAGCTATGATTAGCCTGATAAAAGGGAGCCAGAGCTGGAGTATTGATGGTATGTGCATCTAGGATCTAGTTACAAAATGGGCTTTTAACCACATTTTCCCTTGTGAATTCATGTTATCAGAGGCCATCTGAAAAAAAAAAAAAAAGACAGACAACCTTTCTTTTTCATTTTAGGTGGGTATGTTTCTTGTGTTTCTTTATGCTTATGAAAAATGAGACATTAATAACCTTGACTAGAACCACACACTGAGCAGACT